CATCAGGATGGGTACACGCTGGAGACCCCGTCCGCCCCTGCGCTCACTTCCGCTCCTTTTCTTCTGGGACACAAACCGGGGAGTGTGTTAGGCTGTGTGATGAGAGCCCGCATCCAGGCTGGTTCCTGCCGCCTTTCCACCCCGCGTTTCTCCCACACAACCCCACTCAGCGGCCCCCGGACCCTGCCTCTCCTGAGCTGCAGCCCAGGCTCCCCCGAATGCCCCGGCTCCTGCACATCACGTGTTCCGTCAGCCCCCAGCCCTCCCCCCACACCCCCACCCGCAACCGCATTGCTTGTGTTTAATGTTAAGAGCCACAGACCAGCATCATGACAGCTAGACACCATGCGGCCTTGACCCCTCCCTAGCCTGCTGACTTCCCCACCCACATCCCACCAGCTCCTCTCTCTCTCTCTCTCTCTCTCTCTCTCTCTCTCTCTCTCTCTCCCTCTCTCTCTTGCTGCCTGGGTGCAAGGCTCCTCAGCCTGCCTTCAGCTGCCATCTTACCTCACCATCACCCTCCCACCCCTGGCATCACACCTCAGATCCAGCCCATCAGCCCCTTGGGGGTCCCCACCGCCCTCAGAGTGAAGGCCAGGCTGCTGGGCCCTCCCAGGTCGGACCCTCTCGGCCTCTCCAGGCCTCCCCTCCCCTCAGCTCAGCCCGCGGGCCTCGGCCTGACAGCTGCCCAGCCACACCTGGGAGAACCAGTGGGTGGGGCAAGAGGCCCCCCAACCCCTGGTGTTGACCCGGGATCCACAGTTCTCCCCAGGACACACCCCATAAACCACACTGAGGCCACGAGCATCGGGCCTCAGCAAAACTTCCCTAAAAGGCCACCAGACTGGCTTGGGAACGTAACAGGGTCCCCTCTCTCACCCCCGCCCCGTCGGCTTGAAGAGGCCCCAGGGACTGCAGCCGCACAAGGAGAGCGAGCTGTCTGGGCTCCAGCGACAGCAGGGCACCACCTTTTAAAGCCAAACCTCTCTGGGGCCATGGTCAGCATCTCAGGTTAATGGTGGACGTGGAGCGGCTGCCTGGGCCTTCGCCCCTGACCAGCCTCCTGCCTTTAGTGTCACCCATCTGTCCGTCCATCCTCCAAGCTCACCCATCCCTCCCATGCGTCCACCCTCTGTGGCTCCCATGGCCCTGAGGATAATGCCCGGGGTCCTCACCTTGGCATCTGAGGCCTTGTCTCACCTCTGGCCTCACCTCTCTGCCCTGCACTCCAAGCTCCAGCCCCACAAGGGACGCCAGCCCTGCTCATCCCGCCCTCCTCCAGGCCCCGTTCTGCCCGACCTGTCCCATCGGCCAGGGCCCCGCTCCCTGCGTCCTTCACGCCAACGGCCCAAGCTAGGCAGTGCCCATGGCTCCGGCTTTCCCCATTGGCTGAGACATTTTCTCACCTTTAAGTTTTGTCAAGAAAATGAGCCGAACCCCTTGGCAGTTGTGGCCACTTGGGGAAGGCACTTGAGGGGGACGGAGAAGCCGCCCGAGCCAGCCACGTGCCCAGGAGGCGTGGCTGCGCAGGTGAGTCAGCGTGGTCAAGGCTGGCAGAGGATCTCCTGGTTAGACCACCCTGTGCTCCGTGGATGGGGGTTTAGGCCACAGGCCCATTTCCCTACCTGCACCTCCCCAGGAGTATCCACGCAGAATGCCTTGTACGGCTCCTCCCCCAGACGTGGGCTGCCCCCATCCCACCCGTGGGCTCCAATAGGCCTTGCTTTGTGTGAGCACCCACCTCCACCCTCCTGGGCTCCCCCACCCCCCACCTGCCAGGCCCCGCTCTGGACAGATCTGTGGTGGGCCAGCTTCTCCAGAGAGAGAAGTACAGCTTGTTTCAGCCTTTCTAATAAATAAAGTATTTGCAGCACCCAGGAGGGCTGGCTGGCGTGGGAGATGGGGGATTGCATGCCTTCCCCCA